ACATAGAGAAAACCATGATTTTGGAAGAATGTGTGGGTTGCGTACGCAAGAGCATTGCGGATTCTAGCAATTGCAGAAATCTGAACCAAGATAGGTATAAGAAATTGAGTGAGAAAACTGACATTTCTCTTATCAAAGTGAGAGGGCTCAAATAGGGCATTAAGGTCTTGCAAAATATTAGTTCCAGTTTTATCATTTGAAAATCTTAGCTCATGCTCCGCAAATTTCTAAAAACTACCAACATAAGTAAAGCAGACAAATTTTCAATTCATACCTACCAAGAGATCTGTCGCAAATTTACTCATCGTCGTTAAGATTATAACATAAGCAATCTAAGAAGGGGGGAAATTGCTAGTACACCACTATTTAATTGATGTGTATTAAATAATTGGGACCCTCTATTTAAATGAGACCAATAATATACATGCCAATTAAATAGTGGCAAAGAGTACCGAATTTCCATACTCCGGGAGTAACAGAAATTTTCTCCTGAAAAGGATTCATTTTCATCTCATAATAAAATAGTAAACACGAATAAAGGTGAATATCAGTAAATGCATCTACTAGAATGTGTGTGTTACCATCGACTGTATAATGGGATCATAATCAACCATTAGACAAGCATTTTCCCCTTAGCTTTTGCACTTCAATAGAAATATTCGCATGAATACCGTAAAAAGGAATTATGATACTAATTCATGCATGGCATCATTTTCATAATCAATGGCGGATACCAAAATGACAAAGTTATCACACAATTCAGTTAAATCAGCATTAGGAAATTTCAAAACATAATTCAAAAAATATATCTTTTAACTCAGAAGCATTTAATTTTATCCTTCATTGGCTAGTTCGGACCTAAATGGAGCCTTAAATTCAGAATATTATATCTGAGTACCATAGACTACATCCACGTGAAATATACCAATTTACAATTCCCAAAGAATGAACACTCCGATGTATACTTCCCAAAGAACTACAAAGAATACTCTAACTTCGATTATGAAATTCATTCATAGTCCTTCACAGTGTGCATTTCAATAATTAAACCAAATATTCAAAGCGGAGTAAAGGAGCATACAGTATTGGTTCTGGGACGAAGATGTACAAAATCCCTCAGAAACTCAAAAGTCAATTTGGTCTTCGGCAATGGATATTTGGCCGCATCAACAGTTCCTACATCAATAACTTTTCGTACCCTGAGTTCAATCCTCTGTTTCGCGCCTTCGGGAGGAACCTTGAGCTCGCCCTCGACATGGACACACGTGCCGGTGGGCACCAGGTCAGCGAGCTTGTGAACGGAGGCGTCCACTATGACCTGCAAGTTCTCCGGGCAGGACCCATCGTTCAATTCCAAAAAGGCGAAACTGCCCTTCCCCTGCTCCCGGCCAGTCTTCACCCATCCGCCAATGCGGACGGTCTAGCCCGCCAGCCCTGCTCCACCGTCGGGACGGTACAGGACGGAGCGGATTGGGACCCGTTGTGAGAATTCGGCCTCCGGCATGGCGATGTCCCGGGTGAGGCTATCCACCGGCGGCGACTGGAGTGACATTTTTGTGGGAAGAGAGAAATGTAACAGATTTTCGTGTATCGTAACACAAAATCTCGTGTTTTTGGTTACGAGCGTATCGTTGGAACATTCTTTTTGTCATTTTTAAAAATTATTTTGAAAAATAAAAAATTTCAAAATGCATTTCCTTTGTCCCATGAATTTTCTCACTCGTCTCTTTCTCTCTCTTCTTCCGTCCTCTCTATAACCACCGTCTTCATCGTGGACCACCATCGGTCAACTGTCCACCTCGAGTAACTCAGAAACAGCCCTCAATTTAGTCCAAACAACAATTAATCGAAATGAGGGTTGCGATCCTGTTACGCACAGTCCGAAGAAATCTGTGATCCCAGCAATGTCCGTTCAACCTATGGTCGCGGACCACATGGGTCACCTTCCTCTCCCTTTGGTGCACCTCACCCAACCATGGGTCAAGCCCAATTTCAACCACAACTCGTTGATTTTATGGGTGAACTTAGAGTTGAAAACTGAAAATTTGTTGTTGTGGTGGTGGTGGTGGTGGTGGTGGGATTTGGCCGTTATGGAGACGGTGGTGCTGGTTGAGGTGATGTTGTGGATGTGGATGTGGTGGCGGTTTCGACGATGGTGGTGGTTGGGGTGGCAACAGTTGGTGGTGTTTTGCAGGCGGCAATGATGGTGGTTGGGGGTGATAGTAACTGAAAACAACGAAAACACGTTTTCAAAATTTTGACAAGTTATAATAGAAAACACACAAAACGAAAAATTTATCGTTTTAGGTTTTCTTTGTAAATTTTAAGCTTGTTTTCAAAAACGCGTTTTCGAAAATAGAAAAGAGAGTGCATTTTCACTATTTTGAAAAATCGAAAATAAAAAATTGTTTGAAAATGTCAAAGAGAACATGTCCTTAATTCTCTAATTAGATTTTATATGGTGGGATTGATATTTATGGCGATTTGGTGTTGCAATTCTTCAATTTCGAAAGAATCTGGACTTGGACGTTAGTTTTTTTTGCTTAGAGAAAATATTCAGGTCAATTAGGCAAATTAATGTTTAATTATGGGAATTTATTGACTACGGAGACGGAGAAAGGAAATTAATTTGGGTCGCATTGTATTTCATTTTATTGTGATGAAAGTTTTTAAAAGGGTAATTGGTGAAACTTTCTCTCAAAAAATTCAAGTGGATTTCTCCTATCAGAATTGGAATATTAAAGTTGAGATATAGTTGATTTATTTTCTAATTTGATATTAGCATTTACAATATGTTATATATTTTTATCTTAGAATTTAATAGTTTTAACTCATAAATATTAAAAATAAATTACTTTGTAAATTATTTTTCATTCACTAATATTGATTAGATTAGTACGTTTATTTGGGAAAATATAGTTATTTGAAAGCATGAAAAGTTGGAAGATCTCCTATTTAATATAGTTTTGTGTAAATTATTTATCAGGAGTCATTCATATGATAGTTGAATATTGATGAACATACTTAGCCCTTGTTTGAGCTTCATTTTTTTTTTCCATCAAAATGCATTCTTGAACAGTTATATGACTACATTTCAACCATGCATTTTTTAATAAATAATATTACACACAAATCAAAAATATTTTCTTATTTTTTAATCATACATTTTTCTTCATAACACTATTGTAAAATGCATTTTTCGATTAAAAAAAATGGAGCTCAAACAACTCCTTAATGCTTTAAAAATAACTTTTTCACATCATATATCATAGATCCGATCCTGGTAGTTGTGAAATGTCAAGATAGCAACGTCTATATTCTCATCATATGACAAAATGTACATCGCTGATTTGAAGACCTTGGAAGTTAAATGTGATGAAGAAGATTTGTGATTGATTTTATTGTGTTCATTACCCTCTTCATACATGTCTTTTAGAGATACGATCTTACATAGCCGTGGTATTCTCACTATCGAAGAAACCTACGATACTCTATATTCAAAGGAGAAGATTAAGTATCTTGTAGCATCTGGGGATCATGGAGATGATCTCATTGTTCATGGTAGTCGTTCGTGGGGCAAGCCAAAATATAACTTCAAATTTTGCAATTATTGCAAGAAAATGGGGCACTTGTAAACAATTGTTATAAGTTGCAAAATAAATTAAAGTTAACTGCAAATCAACAATCAAAAATTCAAGAAAATCAAGTATTGCAGAAAATCCTAGTAGTGATGGAGAGCTACTACTTATGTTTGACTACAACTCCAAACCTGATGAACCTTGGATTTTGGATATAGCTTGCACTTTCCACCCAATCGGGAATTGTTTTCAACATATGAAGAAGTTTCAAAAGATGTTGTGATGATCGATAATAACATACCTTGTCAGATAGCTGGTATTTGTCGTGTCAAAATAAAGATGTTTAATAGGACAGTTAGAACACTAGCCAGGTTCGACATGTTCTAGGTATAAACAGGAATGTAATATCTTTGAATACTCTTGATTCAAAAGGTATACGTATACTGGTGGAGATGGAGTTCTGAAAGTTAGCAAGAGTACTCAGCTTGTGTTAAGGGGACGGAGAAAGTCCCGGTTATACATGTTTGAAGGTTCGGCAATCACTGTAGATACAACTGCAGCTTATGGTTCAATAAGTAATAACTCGGGTAGAGTTGGTTGTGATCTTCTTGATTATGTTGCTCGTGGTGATTCGAGCAGATTTTGCAACTCAGGTAGAGTTGGTGTTGCTCATGGTGATTCGAGCAGGTTGGTGACTCGGCTGTAACTGGTAATGAACAAAATAATTCAAGCAAAGATGGTGAGCAAAGTAGTTATGCTGGTAAGTAAGGCTTGGATTTAGTTTACAGTTGCTAAGTATGCTCAGCAGGGGATGGGGTGTCTGGAGTGGACATGGTGGAAGAATTGGAGAATGATTTGATGAGTGAAGACTTAATTCTTTACTATGGAATTTATGTCAAGGTGGAGTTTGTTATATTTTGTAACTCAAATTCCACATAATTTGGAATTATAGTTCATGGAGGAAGTCTAGATAATTTTGATTTAGAAATCCGGATAAATATGAGATTAAATTTCATTATGGATTGAGAGTTTGATTGGTATAAGAACTTTGGGATTAAAGACAATACTTCATCCAAAACTTCAAGATTTGGCTTCTATAAATATTCCATAAGGTGAAGGCTCTTCATAGACTCAACATAACAATTAGATAATTGTTGTATACATTAGAAATTTGAGAGAATTGTTTAGATTTAGATAAGAGAATTAAATCTTGTAAAAACAATTTTAGTTTCTTAGTATAATAAAATTTCATTTTCTTCCACAAAATTTTGTGTTGTAGTGTGATTCATTATTTTTCATATTACTCATATTTTCTCGTCTTTAATTATTTGGCTATATTCTCAACAAATTGGTATCAAAATGATTTTGGTATCTTGAATGGTTCACAACAGGACACTGTTGACCCCAAAAAATGAACTCAACGATGCCGGGCTCACTCTTGCCACGTCAAGTGCTGATCCGACGCGTTTCTTCCAGAAAGGAATGGAGATTTGATGGTAATGAACGTAGGAGATACTTTCCGACGAGAGACACAAATGTTCGGACTCCAGCGATTAAGTTTGAGAAGCAACTCGTGCTATCAACGAATGCTTGACCCGTTTTAACTAAATCACTCATTTCGTAATGGAATATGTGGAATGATAGATATGAAAATGTATTGTATATTCTTTGAATATCAACATGTGTTCTTCCTTCTGTTTTGTAAAACAAAGCTAAGCATATAAAGTTGTTCTTTATTTCTCGATTGCAAGTCCCCATTTTTCAGTACAAAGAGAGGTTATTTATACAAACCTAGCCGACGTGGTAACCGTCCAATCACATCCACGTGGCAACATCTCCTAGAACAAAGACTCACGTCACTGTCCATTCATCGTATTCAATGTTTGACAAAGGGTCAGTCGTGCTAGTAGTAGGCTGAAACACTGACATATTAAAGCTACAGACACTTTATTACAGACGTCTCATCAATTAGTTCTATGAGATCTTCGAATCTGTTCGGAGGCAGCGTCGACACTAGCGTGTGTTGAGGTCAGCTTCGGACTCGTGGACATCTGGTGAGTTGAGCTTCACTGCTTAGTACGTCGGACATATGGAGCTTCTGCATGCTTGGAAGGGCTTTAAGCAGACCTTCATTTATTTGGGCTGAAGGGGGCATCGGACAACTGCAACTTCAGCGCTTGCACGACTTCGGACAATGGCCTCCTCTGTAGTCCTTGACTTTGTTGACTCTTCAACTGGCTCTACGTTCGTTTGACTGTAAGGAACGCTTGGCAGTCTACGTGGATATGCTGTGTACGTGGCAGTCCACGTGGGGTGCTAACCTAGAACCTCTGATTTTGAGGGGTAACAGACACCAAAAAACTCCAAAAATAATTCCAAGAACAAGAACTCAAAAGCAAAATCACAAAAGGGGAAACAGAAGACAACTATTTCTATGAAAATCAGCCAGGGTAGTAAAGTATATTGCCACAGTCATCCTCCTATGTCTTGTATAGTCTTAGTATTGCAACTCATTGTCCTATTGTGACTACGAAACTTATTATAACCATTTTGAACGTATCGTCCTTGAAATTTTATTACTAGTGCAATTAAGCTCAAGAATTTTAGGAGGCTACAGAAGGAATATATCAGACCTATTTTTGATTCAATAATTGAGCCACAGTCAAGTTGGACCATTTTATACGAAATAATTACTAATTTTCGCTCATTCACAAAGCAAGAAACTAAGGTCCAAAATATAAAAAATCACGGAAGCAATAATATTTCAATTTCCTACAATTAAAGATATCAGGGTAAAAGCCCAATCAAGAATATCATTAAATATGATGAAAGTCCACAAACAAAGGAACGTCGTCGCCCAAGCCTGCAGAACGCCCAGATGTTGAGCGAATGAAGTATCCTATGATCG